CGCGTTCATCCAGCCTGCCCTCTGCCCCCTGCCCTCTGCCCCCTCCCCCGTGCCCCCTGCCCCCTGCCCTCTGTCCCTGCAGCTCTGCCCATTCTGGGCAGGTCATACACACTTCAGCCATGCAGTGGATGGCACACTCAGCTTTGTGTTTCCAAGGCCCACTCCCCGGCAGCATGTGAGGGGAGCTTCTCTCTTTACTGTCTGGCTAACATCCCAAGGTGTCTGTGACACTGAGTCCATCCATGGTGTGCATCCGGGTCTTTCTGCTCTTGAGCCATTGTGGGGTGCTGGCCGCGTCCTATCCCCAGTCACCACAAAGCAGCGCCACAACTGAACAGGTGCTTGTTCGAGTTCCCACTTCCAATCCCTGTGTGGGTGTGTGTCAAGACTTGTGTGTAAGCCGAGCACTGGTGGCTCACGCCTGTAATCCTAGCTATTCAGGAGGCTGAGATCTGAGGATCATGGTTCAAAGCCAGCCCGGGCAGGAAAGTCCCTGAAACTCTTATCTCCAATGAACCACCAGAAAACCAGAAGTGGTGCTGAGGCTCAAGCGGTAGAGCGCTTGTCTTGAGCTGAAGAGCTGAGGGACAGCATCCAAAGCCCAGAGTTCAAGCCCCATAACCGAAAAAAAAAAATACTGTGCACTCCACACATTTTTTAGCTTTATGCAGATCTGAAGGAAAACTAATCTGTAAGAAGATTGCAGCCAGGCACAGTGGCTCACACGTATAATCCTAGCTGTACAGAGGCTGAGATCTGAAGGATCTAGGTTCCATGCCAGCCTGGGGCAAAATGTTCATGAGACCTCGCCCCTTCAGAACCAGTAAGCTAGGTCTGATGGTATGTACCTGTAATCCCAGCCTAGCAGAAGGCCTGAACAGGAGGATCACAGCTCCAGCCTGAGCTGAGCAGAAAGTGAGAATGTAGTTTCAAAAATTGGGCGAGCAGGAAGTGGCGCTGTGGCTCAAGTGGTAGAGCACTCGCCTTGAGCTGAACAGTGCCCAGGCCCAGAGTTCAAGCCCCATCACTGACAAAAAATAGGGCTGGGGATGTGGTTCAGGTGGTAGAGAGCCTGTCTGGCAAATGCAGAGAGTACTCGACCCGGAGGGCAGAGTGTCCCAACTGACGGCCGTGTCTCCTCCGCAGGTGCAGGGACGACGGCAGCATGCAGGCCCAGGACAAGAAGGTAAAGGGCCGTGGGGAGACAGCGAGCCTCGCCCCAGGCCGGAGCGGCCGTGCCGTCCTGGGGTCACGAGGTACAGCCCTGTGGTGGGCTTTGCAGAGTCTGTAGGGAGGTGGCACGCTGCCAGCCCAGCTTTGTAGGCCAGATCACGGCCCCAGCCTCAGTTTCCCTGTGTGGAAGCCTGTGAAGAGCGCTGAGTGCCAGGCTGGGCCACTGGCTGGGGCCGCGCAGGACGCCGGGCACGGGGGAGTCGCGCCGGGAAGAGGCAGAGGAAGGAATGCAGCTCGGGCACTTGTTCAGCGTCGTGAGGGCCGTGGCGTCCGTGCTCCCCAGCCACTGGCTGCTGCGTCCTCTCCCGGACTCAGTGTCCCAGGAGGCCCCAGGTGCAGCCGTGGTATTCTGCCATCAGGCCTGGTCGGGGAGGGGTTCATTGGGGCAGTGGAGGCAGGAGGGAAAGGGGTGCAGAGTGGGCCCCCCCATTCTCCTGGCTGGAGCGTCACTGAAACATTGGTCCAGGACACTGAGACCCAGGGCCACCATTCCCAGCCGCTGCTTTGTCTTTGTCGCCTGCAGCTGTGCACCTCTGGGTTATGAACTCAGGGACTTCTCTGAGTGTCAATGTCGGCCACAGGGAAAGAGGCACATGCGCCCTCCACCCTCCCAAGTGAGCTTCCAAACCCAGCCCATAGGTGGGTTCCAAAGCCCACCTTTTAGGAAATGAAATAGAAGAAGCCAAGCATGGTTGTTCATGCCTGTAAGCACAGCTACTCAGGAAGCATAAACAAAAGGATCGTAGTCTAAAGCCAACCCTGGAGACAAAGTGAGAGGCTCAACCTGAAAAAGACTTAACGGGCTGAGAGTGGCTCAGTTGTCTGCCCAGCAAGCACAAGGTGCTGAGTTCAAACCCAGTTCCACCAAAAAGAGCAAGTTGTGGCTCTGGTCTGTCCTCCTAGCTACTCAGGAGGCTGAGATCTTGAGGATCATGGTTCAAAGCCAGCCCATGTGGGAAGGCCTGGAGACTTATTTCCAATGAACCACCAAAAAACCAGAAGTGGTGCTGTGGCTCAAGTGATAGAGTATAAGAGCTCAGGGACAATGCCTAGGCCCCGAGTTCAAACCCCATCACTCCCTGGCTGTGTGACTCTGGGTAAGTCTCTTGGCTTCTCTGTTCCCTGATTCCCAGTCTGTAAATGGTGCACCCACTGATTGGCAGATGCACCTGCCAATCAAGGCCCCTGAACCTACAGGAAATGGGGAGGAGGCTGGGCTCTGGGGAGCCATCACCTAGCATGGGTTGTTTTCTGTGGGCTTCAAACTTCCTCCCCACTCTGGAGAAGGAAAAGCCTCTACGCTTATTTAAAGACTTCCCTGATCTTAAAAATAGACATTCCTCAGAACACTGAGACCGAATGGGGTGCGGTCAGGTGAGCTGCACTGCGGGGCACGGGGGGGGGGGTTCTGCTTTCTGCTTTGGCTGCTTTCCACCACCACTCCCTCTCCTGGGTTCAGAAGTTATGGTGTAAACGGGACCCCCACCCTCTTCAGGAATGGGGTGATGGAGTCACAGAGAAGCGGAAACACCATGCAGGAGAGGCAGAGGGGGCATGGCCAGCTTGCTGGAGCTCGGGGCTGGGGGAGGCAGGTGATAGAGGGAGTTACATAGTCCAGGCAGAGAACCGTGTGTGCAAAGGCCCTGTGGCCTGAGCTTCTCCCCCAAGAGTCTGCCCAGCGCTCTGGTGTAGCCACAGTCACTGCTGCCCAGGAGCCCAGCAGGCCACTCCTCAGCACAGCCTGCTTGGCGGGGGCTGAACTCGGGCTTCAGGCGCATTCCCGTCATGCCCTGGTGGGAAAAGCTTGCCAGGCCCAGCCTTGGCATCAACACCAGGGTTTATGCTGACCTTCTGGAGGTGCTGGGTCCTAGGCTAACCAGGTGTTCAAAACCAGCTCCCAGGGGAGGGAGACCGGAGGGGCGTCAGGCCGAGTGTCTTCAAAAGAACCTTTATCCTGTAGATGTTGTTGAGCCTTGAACCTGGGGACTCCCTGCTCTGCAGATGACGGCCTCAGCCTTCTTGCGCCTCCAGGCCTGGGCCTGCCTGCTGGGCAGCACCCGTGTGCTCTGCAGGTGACAGCCTCAGCCTTCTTGCGCCTCCAGGCCTGGGCCTGCCTGCCGGGCAGCACCCGTGTGCTCAGCCCGCGCACTACCAGGCACAGCCCTCCCTCGGGGCTCACCCTCCTGTGTGGGGTTTGTTGGGGCACTGGAGTTTGAACCCAGGGCCTTGCACTTCCTTGGCAGCCATAGCTATGCCCTAGCCGTGTGTGTGTGTGTGTGTGTGTGTGTGTGTGTGTGCTTTTTGGTTCAAGGCTGGGGCTCTACCACTTGAGCCACAGCTCCTCTCCACAGTTTTTGGTGTTCACTGGAGAAAAGCACCTTGTGGGCTTTCCTGCAGAGTGGCTGGGGTGATGGGCGTGAGCCCGGAGCCAGCCCTTTTAGCTTTAGTAATTTTTCAGATAGGGTCTCGAGCTTTTGCCCAGGCTGGCATTGAACTCTGACCTCCTCCACTTCCTGAACCGCCGTGAGGCAGGCGCATGCGCGGTGCCTGGCCCAGTCTTGGGCTTTGACACGGGACCGGGAGATGAGCAGCGATGAGAAAGCCTCAGGGCCACGGAGGAGGGGAAAGGAGTGTGTCCTTCTCGAGCCGTCGCTCCGGGCCAGGCCTGGGTGGCACTCTGTGCACCCCTGTGACTCAGTTTCCCCAGTGTAGACGGGCCAGGGTGGTGAAGCTGCTGAGCGAGGCCCACATTTCGTGGGTGGGGTCTAAGCCTCGCTCTGTAACTTTGCTGCTCTGGCCGACCCGGACTTGACTTACATCAGAATGGTGTTCTGCGCTGTGACGCTATAAATACTTTCATCCCGGATGACGGCCAAGTTGCATCTTGAGTGGTGACAAGTTTCCAGAAAGAGCGTTTTCCTCCCCGTGAGACGCTGTGGTTTCTTCACAGCACCTGCGGGCTCCCTGTGCCCAGGGGTGGCTTCCCCGGGGAAGTCTGGGCCGCGGGAGCGGGGCTGGAAGGTTCCAGACCCCAGGGCGGGTGGGTGTGTGGCAGGCCAGGCCCTCCCGAGGCTGCAGCCCAGGCCACCGCCTGGACCAGCCGCAGCGACAGCCCGTGAGACTCACCTCAGTGAGCGGC